GTTTACTTAGTAAAATATTGAGAAAAATGCAATTGTTTTTAGAGAAAACTTGGTACAAGTGATCGTTGGAAAGAGTTAGTGATTTGCGTCCCTACAACTTTTGTTATAAGCCCAAGAATGATTTACTTAGTAAGAAAAAAAGTTTTAGATTGGTGCACTCCACATTTGGCTTTATAGTAAAATTTACTTATAAAAATTTGCAAATCTTCTCTTGTTGACTAGCAAATCACCAATTAATTATTTATCTTTATTTTAAATTTTTTTTTTATTTTTATATTAATTTTATTGATTCTATATAACTAACCATTATTGTTTTTTATTTCATATTTGCCAAATAATGGTGAATTTTGGCATAATTCACTATGCCAAAATTCTTGCTTTTCATCAATAACAACTCTGGGGCCAAAATACATTTTTGGCATAAGTATAGGATTGTTTAAAATATGTTTCAGATGTGCTAGTGGTGAAATAGTACTATTATCTATTTATTATAAATTAAAATATATATATTTGATTAAATTAATAATACTTACAAGTTATATATTTAGTAATTAAAATAAATATCATTGTTGATGTAAAATTTGGAAAATATAGACTATATTGTTATTAAAACCCTCAAAGTCAGAAGACATTTCTTTTAGTATATCTGTTGCTATTGCTTCTTCAGAAAACTGTTCTTCTAATATATCAGTTGCCATAGTATCTTTTAAAATATCAGATTTATCATCACTATTTATTAAAATATCTGTAGTATCATCAAATTCATCATAACTAATTGAATTTTCTTTCATAGTATTAGTTAATGAACTATACTGAAATTGATAATTATCGATATTTTCATAATCAAAACTTTTTCTAGGCTTTAACTAATAAATTAGTTTATTTAAAATAATAGATTCTTTAAAATATTCTTTAAAGTGTTTTATAAATAATACTAATCTCACTTGATAAGATATAATTACTAGTTGAAGAACTTCTAGTCTTTTCAATTAGAGTTTCTTCAAAAAATATATCAATATCTTTTGTATTACTATATGTTGATATATTATTATTATCTATAGAAGTTTCCGTAGTCTTTTTATATTTGTTTTGTTTGAATTTAATCTGTAATTTTAGTGTTGGCATATATAACCGAGAAGTTCTGTTTGAATGTTTTATTATGATAGTTATAAATAAAAATTTTTGTCTTTCACTTGTAGATTAATATTAATTTATAGATTTTCATAAAGAAACTCTTCGTTATTTGATTGATCTTTCTTTTATTTTTATTTATTTAGTTTTTATATATAAATATTAATAACTATTACAAACTATACATTACTGCATTATATATATTTTAACTACAAAAATAAATCATATATAATTGTATTTGTATTTTGATCATAAATTGGATTTACAATTATAATAATTATATCAGAAAATGATTATAAATTAGGTTTACAATTATCATGTAATTAACTGCATCATATATATTCTGACTACAAAAATAAATCATGCATAATTATAGTTAAATTTTATTGTGAACTGGGTTTATAAATATATGAGTGCATAAGAGTAAAAACCTGTAACTAATCATAGTAAATCATTAAATCTATATTCAGTATTTTACTCTTACATACTCATATCAGAAATAATAATTGTAAACTTGGTTCACAATTATCATATATTAGAAATAATAATTATAAACTAGGTTTACAATCATTATCTATATATTAAAAATTTAGAGCATCAATGCATGGTTTGTTGTTACACAAACCTATAGTTATCTATTACACAGCCTCTTATGCGTTAACCCACAGTTCCGGTTTTAGCCAATCAACATCAGTCACAGGACAAAATATAGGTAACGTGAAAATTAGCAAAACATTGAAACACCAAGAAAAAACATATTAATCTTGAAAACTTGACCATCAAACTTAACAATAATGCTAACCAAATGTCTCATTTAAAAAGGACAGTGATATGTAAATAATCACAAAAAATTTCAACCAATTGAAGGCGTGGAGAGAAATTAGTAAATGCGATTTGCATATGTTGATGAAAACAAATATGCACATGGTAAATAACATGTACAGTACTGTACATATCTATATAATAATTAATCAGATTTTATTCTCAGGAAAAATGCAGAAGTTTGATTTAAAAAGCAGCTCCAAACCTTATTTCTAATGCATAAACAGTTAAATGTGTTTAAATGATCAATAAGTAGTTAAACAGATAAACGGTAAAACAATTAATAAACAGTATTTGCTAGCAATTTGTAATTAATCATCTTTAGCAAAACGTCATGATTTAACTTCGAAATAATAAACAAAAAAGAGGTCATAGATAACTTCAAAAATAAAGCCATTTTTAGTTGATTTTTAGGTTAACATCATCACCCTTGCTTAACTGCCTTTTCTGAGAATTAAACAAGCAAATCACAATGTAGTATAAACTTCATTAATCATGTAACCAAAGAGATCTGATCAAAAATTCTTGAGACTATATGGGCTAGGTGCTGAGAAAAAGGCCAAAAATGACAATAAAAAAGATTTTCAGAAAATCAATTTTTATATTATAAATCTGATAATAAATTATAAGAAAATATAAACTTTAAAGAGCTATACTGCAAAATTTATTAATATAACTACTTTTGTATATTAAGTGAAAAATAATCCTAATCTTATTCTAAGTTAATTTATGTAAAAAAATCTCTTTTGAAAAAATTGTCATTTTCGGCTTTTTTTCTAGCACCTAGCCCATATGTGTTTGTTTAAACCCCCCTCCCTTATGCCTGAGCCTAAATATCGATGTTAACCTAAAAATCAACTAAAAATGGCCTAAGTGGGAGCTCAAAAGAGCGTATTTTTCTGTTAAAAATGCGGAATCATAAAATTAATATTAATAAAATTATCTTTTAATAACTATCTGTTATTGAATTAAGGGTCAGAAAAGTTTAAAACAGATGTTCGCTTTTTCAAAAACTGTTTATTTCTCCTAAATTTTCATAAGAAACTGCCTTCTGCACTCTAACAAAAATTTTCTTTGTGAGATTTTACATATATTCCACTAAAATCTAACCCTAATATAAATCTTAATCTGATCTTAAAACTTTAAAGATTTTTTGACTTTTACGTGACTCAAACATTTTTCGTCATGTCTACATACTAGAAATAAAGCATATACTAACAGGTTATATCGATCATTGCTAATAAAATCACAAGATCACGTATGATCTAAAAAATTCGAACATTGAGAAGCTAGAAAAATCACAAATAACACAAGATTTTAGGATACATATCACTTCACTGACATCATTTCATAAATATAACATTTCGCCAACAAAAATTTACCACATGCTTATTTTACCAACAATTATTTCACAGGCAAGTTTATTTCACTGACAGTTTATTACATCGAAGCTCATTTCATATACAAATTTTTTTTTATAAATTCTACTAACTTTAACTCTAATTCTAACCTGACCCTAATGACAGTACCCAGAATTATTTGGTCGGTAATATATATTTCAGTGAAATAAACTGTTAGTGAAATGGAAAATAAATCTTAGTGTTGTCGGTAAAATATTTTACTATGATGAATAAAAGTTTTCAGCATAAAATTACATTTTAATATCAAATATTAAGTAAATTAATGCCTGCGCTAAATTCTAATCTTTGTGCTCTTTTGATTTTGTGATCTGAATTATCATTATGTTTGAAACAGCCTAATATACTTATTGCTAATGCTGATTTTCATATTCTAAAGTGATCACTATACCAACAGAAATTCAAAAAGTATTGGTATATAATCAATACATAAATAGATTAATTAATAGGTATGAGCATACATATGTATATGAGTGCTACCAAGAGAAAAACACACAGCAAGCTTTCAATTATAATTTGTACTGGACATAATCTATTTAATTTATTAGGACTATATCCGGCACAAAATATAATTGAAAGCTTGATATGTAGTTTTCCTTCATATTATATATCATGACGATCATACAATATTCTATATAATGTCAAAAAATTGCAATCTGTAATATAGACGTACTTTTTTTCAGTTACGTATTGACCTGTAAATTAACTTTGAAACCAGTTTTATTTTCATATATAGATTCAGAATGAAGACCTGAAAATAAAATTTAGGTCCTAAAACCTGTGTTTTAATATTTTTAGTAAGGCTGTTTGAATTTGAAAATTTGTTTAACATTCTCCTTCCTACCACTGGAGCTCCCCTTGACATTAAAAAGCCAATAGAAAACGAGTATAAAAAAATATATATATATCACAAAAAAAAAAACTGAATATAAATGAACCCAAATCAGGTACATTTTGAACCTAATTTTAGGTCTGTTTAATTTTTAGTGTTTGTTTAACTCCCCTCCCCCCTCAAGCAAATATGAAAAAGAAACATTAAACGAATCTTCAAATTCAAACTGCCTAATATACAATAATGATATTACTAAAATTAAAGTAATCATTTTTTTAGAAGCTAAATTTTTTTTCAAGTTTTTACTCTTTTGCTCCTATATAAACTTAATATATTTTATAACAAATTGCATTAATTAAATAATTATGATTAAATATAACCCGTCATTTAATGATGGGTCTTACATCTAGTATATTTATAATAATTGTATTAGAATGAATAATTATAAACTAGATTTATGATTAGTATATATTTACAATTTAAAGTAATATTATAAATATATATTTATTAATTAACTTCTTTTTTAATTATATGGGTTAAATAAATATATATTTAGGAAATATTTATTTTCACCATGGTATTTTGCTATTTTCACTATGGTTATACAAAAATTACTATTTTTAGCATTTAATATAGAAAGTATAATAAATTAATATAAAAAATTATTTTTTTTAAAATTAAAGTTGTTTTTTATTAAATTAGAATCTGTTGAGCTTCTAAGTAAAGTTGTAGAGAAGATTTTTCTGGTTTTAATGGTGGAAAGATTATCAAAATCAGCCTTGTACATCCCAAGATACTTGGAATTAAAGACACAAATATAAAGATTTAATATTAAAAATCAATTTTTTTAAAATTAAAGAAGTTTTTATTTTGTTGGCCCACCACTTTTTTCGAGGAAATTTTTGTAAAAAGTGGACATTTTAGCTTACCTCCTCTAAATGATCAACATCACATATACCAAACAAGTTGGCATTGTTTATCTTCCAAATCAGAACATGATAACAAACACGTATATATACGTGCTTCAAATGCAATGGATATCTATACAAACGATGCTTCGAAACTCTGTTCTGACCTCTCTACCTTAAGCTGGTCATAAAGTTTTTCCTATTGGGTTTATACTTTCACATACTAGTTTAGAGAAAAATAGAAGTAGAGACTAATTTGTCTAGTCAGTATATAATTTTTCAAAGCCAGCCACAGGCTGATAACCGTGGTATTAAAATTAGCAAATTTCTGTTTTGTTTTTGTTTTTTTTTTTTTGATATTCCTTTACACTTTTTCTTTATATTTTGTATTCTTTTACCTTATTTCCCTATACCTCTGTGTTTTTTTTTTAGTTTGTTTGTTTTATTTTCTGATTTTGCTTCTTGATGAGCAAGTAGTCTCTAGCCGATAAACAACAGGAAAAAAGTCCTTAGTGAGTTAAGGACCCTGAGAGAGGCCAAGAGCTACTGAGGCAGGTTGCACCTGGTATATAAAATCACGTGGATGAGTTCTTCATTTGATTAGATCTACTTTAGTTAGAGATAAATTACTTGTAATTTTGAATAACTTGATCCTAAATAAACAAAGGCAGGATAGCTGA